CCACTTTGTTATTTTGCCAGACTTTTGCAGCATTAATTCAAGTGAAACTGCGTTTTTCTTTTACAATCCCATCGTGCGAGGCTTTGGAAACGTTTGTGTCCCATCAGCAACCATGCTAGAAATTGTCATTACAATTGTACCTTGGTTTTCAAGCAGCCTAGTTCTCAAACATTTTGGCTCCCGTTGGAAATGGAATACAAGAAGGGGAAGCGTGGGGAAGTCGTGGAAATAGGTTATTGAAAATAAGGATTGTAAACGTTGAGTGTTTTTAATTCTTTTTTTCTTTTTTCTGGATTTTTTTGAAAATTTCAATAAATATCTTTAAAAAAAACAACATTTTGGCTCCTGAACGCCACAAACCCGGAAGTGACTGTGCCGGTTTGCAAACTATTTTTGGAAACCGAATGTCTGACAGGGCTTCCGATTGGCTGCAGAAACTTCCTACAGCCGATCAGAAGCCGTGCTTTGGTTTCCAAATGTTTTGGAAATTCAATGAACATCCGGAATGAATTCTGTTTGACTTCCAAGGTACGACTGTAGTGGGAATGTTTGAAAACGTTCCCGTTGCTGATTTCTTCTTCAACTTTCTGCGCACTGAGATTGCTATCAAGGAAACCTTGCTTTTGCAAAGATCCAGACCTTTGGTCACTGCTTTCAGATAGTATTGGTGTAAGAGCTAGTTACACAAGCAATAAAAAATTTTCATGGACTCTATCACATCAGGTAGGCACACCTTCCAACATTTCTCCGATGAAAATAGGGACGTCCTATTCCAGAATAATAATAATAATAATAATAATAATAGCTTTATTACTTACACCCTGCCCATCTGACTGGGTTGCCCCAGCCACTCTGGATGCTTTCCAACATTTATAAAAACACAGTAAAACATTAAACATAAAAACCTTCCCCACACAGGGCTGCCTTCAGGTGTCTTGTAAAGGTGTATATTTACTTATCTCCTTGGCTCAAAGGTTGCATAACTCCATATCCGCCAACATTTCTCTTGGGGCGGCCTAAGGAAAAGTGAAACATTCCATGATCAAATCAGAAACCGGGACAGTTTCTGTAAATCCAGGACTGTCCCTGGAAAATAGGGACACTTGGAGGGTTGCAAAAAAAAAAAAAAAAGAGAGAAAGAGAATTATTTACTTATACCCCACCCATCAGACCGGGCCTCCCCAGCCACTCTGGGCAGCTTCCAAGAGGATATTAAAAACACAATAAAACATCAAACATTAAAAACTTCCTTAAACAGGGTTGCCTTCAGATGTCTTCTAAAAGTCACATAGTTGATATCTGATGGGAGGGTGTTCCACAGGGCTGGTGCCACTACCGAGAAGGCCCTCTGCCTGGTTCCCTGTAATCTCACTTCTCGCAGTGAGGGAACTGCCAGAAGGCCCTCGGCGCTGGACCTCAGACTCCAATGCACTGAGAAAAATAATTTGACAGCAAGAAGGCTCAGTTAAACAGCTCCCTATTTCACCCTTCTTGAGTGTTTCCCCCCTCTCTCATGGGATGTCCCTGAGCTTCTTTCCAAATAAGTACACTTCAAACTTTGTCGCCTGATCTTTGTTCAGTCAAGCCCTTAACACCTCCTTGTCAGGCTCCCCCTTTTTTTCTCTCACCCCCAAACACAGTCCTTCCCTTGCAAATACTGTGAGTCAGGGACTTGGTTGCGCAGGAATCTTGTATTAATCTGCGGCAAGCAATGAAACGTGAGCTTTTTCTGCATCGCAGGTGCCTTAAATGTGTTGGGTGATTTAGGCAGACCCCTGAAAGGCTGTGAGAAATGGGGCATCCCAAACTTGAGACGGGAGTTATGTCTCAAGCCAGGCAAGTGGCAGGTTTATCTTTCAAGGGGGATTGCTTAGGACTTTGCCTTGATTGGAACTGACGTGTCCTGCATGGCATAAAAGTGAAATGTTTAAGGATGGAGATGGGAGGACATCAGAGATAATGGAGAACACAGCGGGGGCGAGTTCTCCCAGCTCTCTGCCATAAATACAGCCTACATTGAGAATGTGTGCATAGACTAAAAAAACACACGCAAAACAGACTTGCCAGACCATCAATAGCCTTACCACATTATAAAACAGCAGACTTTAAATCTTGCAATTCAACCAAACAAGGCCTGATGTAATAATAATAAAAAAGACCCTATACAGGTTCACATCTGGCTTTTGTAACTGTCATCCAGAGAGGTAGTTGATATCAATTCTCTCAGAGACAGCTTTCATGACAGACACATCGGCCCCAAACACACTTATTTAGCAAAAGCTTGCTTGAAATAAATAGAATTTAAATGAGGTTTAATAGGATTTCTATTCAGTGGTGAGTTGTTGTTTCTAATTTTCTGCATCTGCATAATTCTGCCCTGCTATCACATGACCAGATGTTAAGGTTTTTCTCAGAGCTATTATCCCCACTGGTATTATTTAGTTAGTTAGTTTACTAGTCGTGCTCAACCAGGTTAAATGTATACCAGATGACCATCTCTCATCATCATCATCATCATTTATTTATTTATACCCTGCCCATCTAGCTGGGTTTCCCCAGCCACTCTGGGCGGCTCCCAACTGAATATTATAAACATGATACAGCATTAAACATTAAAAACTTCTCTAAACAGGGCTGCCTTCAGATGTCTCCTAAAAGTAAGATAGTTGTTTATTTCCTTGACATCTGGTGGGAGGGCGTTCCACAGGGCAGGCGCCACTACTGAGAAGGCCCTCTGCCTGGTTCCCTGTAACCTCACTTCTCGCAGTGAGGGAACCGCCAGAAGGCCATCGGCGCTGGACCTCAGTGTCAGGCAGAATGTGTGTGTGTGTGGGGGGGGAGACACTCCTTCAGGCATACTGGGCTGAAGCCATTTAGGGCTTTAAGGTCAGCACCAACACTTTGAATTGTGCTGGGAGCCAATGTAGGTCTTTCAGGACCGGTGTTTTATGGTCTCGGTGGCCACTCCCAGTCGCCAGTCTAGCTGCCGCATTCTGGATTAACTGCAGTTTCCGAGTCACCTTCAAAGGTAGCCCACACAGAGCACATTGCATTAGTCCAAGCGGGAGATAGCCAGAGCATGCACCACTCTGAAAAGACAGTCTGTCGGCAGGTAAGGTCTCAACCTGCGTACCAGATGGAGCTGGTAGACAGCTGCCTTGGGCACAAAACTGACCTGTACCTCCATGGACAGCTGTGAGTCCAAAATGACTCCTAGGCTGCACACCTGGTTCTTCAGGGGCACAGTTACCCCATTCAGGACCAGGGAGTCCCCCACACCCGCCCGCCCCCTGTCCCCCAAGAACAGTATTTCTGTCTTGTCAGGATTCAACCTCAATCTGTTAGCCACCATCCATCCTCCCACTGCCTCCAGCACTCACCTTCACTGCCTTCACTGGTTCTGATTTAAAGGAGAGGTAGAGCTGGGTATCATCCGCATACTGATGACCACCCAGCCCAAACCCCCTGATGATCTCTCCCAGCGGCTTCATATAAATGTTAAAAATCATGGGGGAGAGGATGGAACCCTGATGGATGCTTTGGTTGAGATTTCTGCATTGCAGGGGGATTACACTAGCATCTAGATAATCCTCTATGTCCCTTCCGACTTTCTGGTTCCATGAACACCTAGACTAGAGGCCCACACAGTTCCCATCCCTAGTTTAGGGGGCACTGGTGTGCTACACTATGAAATGAAACCTTGCCGAGCATTCTGTTTCAATGTGTATTATTCCAGAAAATATGCTGTCGTTATCCAGAGGGAGCCGGGATATCAATGCATTTATTTTACTACACTATACCTAGGCAGTGCACAAAGGAGATGCTCAAAGCAGCGTCTCTCTCTCTCTCTCTCTCTCTCTCTCTCTCTCTCTCTCTCTCTCAGCTGCCTCCACTGGCAATCCTGTAGCCAGATCAGATGATTGCTTAGTCAGTGGAAGGAAGCCCCATTGACTTCGGTGGAATTTAGGCATGCAATCACAGTGTTAATCGCATAATGTTCCCAAACCAGAGGCAAGGCGTTTTGAGGCTGACCTCTCTGAATTCTCTTGCTCCACCTGCCGTCCGCAAACAAGCCACTTCCTCCGGATCCTGGACCAACCGCAAATAATACACTCATCAGGATAAAGCGGCTTGCTTTATCCAAACGCAACGCTTCCAGATCGGCAGCAATACTAAGAAATGAAAGAATGAAAAACCACGCGTGGGCGTAGCCAGGATTTTTGTTTTGGAGGGGGGCGGGGCAGGACTTTTGTTAGGGGAGGCAGAACCGACATGATTGGTCAGTTAGTTAAGTATTTCTAATGTTTTACTTGACGGGGGGCGGGGCAACTGCCTCCGCCCATGATACCATGGCTTTCAAGGAAGAGGCACAACTACGATATTGCAAAGGGTTTGGTGAACCTTACCCCAGAATCACAACGTAAAGCAAGCTCGTCGTGGCATCATAGTAAATAGCTCCGTGCAAATTGCTCTCCGTGGAGGCGTTTTGGTTTTTCCCAATGCAGATTTAAACGTTTTATTGGGACAAGGGGGTTAACTTTCATTTCCTTCTGCAATACAGTATACGAATCGCGATACTGGGGGATTGGACTAGATTACCCTCCAATTTAGGTTCCCTTCCAACTCTACCATTCTATACTGTTAACAACTGTATAGAAATCCTTGAGGAGGAGGAGGTGGGGGAAAGGAGAATTTAAAAAGACTTGTTCAGAAATCCTTCACCACTAGGAGTAGTCGTGGCCGAGTGGTTAAGGCGATGGACTAGAAATCCATTGGGGTCTCCCCGCGCAGGTTCGAATCCTGCCGACTACGGCGCGGATTTATTTTTCAAAGGGCCAAACTTTTAATTGAAGCGCCTCGATCCCAGCAGGGCGGGGGTTTCCCGGAAGAACCAGGATGGGGCCGCCAGAGGCAGCGTAAGCCCAGCTCTTGGGAAGGGAAACTCGTGACACTCCGATCTCCTCCTCCTCCTGTTCGCCAGCCTTGCAACAGCAGCGGCACTTTCGCTGCGCGCAACTCCCAGCAAAGTCTGCGCTGCGCCGCTGGAGCTTTGGCGACGCCATGCAGCCCAGCTCGGGGCCTGCCGTGCTGGTCACCACCAGGTAAGGCGGCTTGCAGTGCGGGGGCCTCGCTTTGCTATGCCTGCCTGCCTCTTGCCGCTTCCCAAAGCGAGGAGGACGCGGGGTTCGGAGAGTTCAGGGGAGCCTTCCTGGCCTCGGGATCCAGATGTGCGCCTTGGGCCCGGCGCAGCAGCTGGCATGGGCTGCCTTTCCGCCTCCTGCCGAGCAGGACGAGCCTCGCTGCCTGCGCCTCCTGCCTCTCCAGTAGCGCTTCCTTCCTTCTCCCCCGCGGCTCCCCTCTTCCCCAAGGGTAGCTGGTGCGTCAGGGCGCACGGGGATCTTTGCGCACCCGTCCGCCTGCTTCGGTTACAAGCAAGTCCAGAGCGCGTGGAACTGGCAGCCAGCTCCCTCCATCTTAGCCTTGGGTGGGTGGGGGGTTAATTTATTGTTCGGTGCATTGGTACCACCCCGCCTTTTTCTCCAAGGAGCTGGAGGGGGCGTGCATTTTATTGTTATTTTATACCGCCCTTCATTCAGGGATCACAGGGCAGTTTGCAATAGAAAAGCACAAAAAACATTACATAGTAACAAAACAAAATCAGTACCCCCCCCACTATGGTTCTCCCTCTCATTTAATTATTTCTTTTCCCAGTTTATTCAAATGTTACAATACAGCTTTGTCCACTGCCATAATATCTCAGAATGACCGTTCCAATCCTCAGTCCCACATCACTGTTATGTTGGCTCCCCAAATACCCTCAATAGGAACCCAACTACCAATCTGGTTGATTAGTCATTGATGGTATGTGAGGTGTTCTGATAGAGCAATGTTATTAACCCAAGCCTCTGTTGGTATATTAGAGGTTTCCTTTCATCATTGACAACAACTAGTCTACTGGTTGAACAGGAAGGAAATTAATTCCTTAGATTTAAAAGTAGAATTTGAGGTCAAATCTAGTGATAATAAGGCAAGTGCCAAATTAAGAGGGATTGATTGCTGGAGGTCAGACATGGACCATGGTACACCCCCACCAAACATGAATATAGGACCCTTGATCTCTACAGCCCTTCCAACATAATGGTGAGCTTGAAGAATTTATCTTTGCAAGGCATGTGGGGGCCCAATGCCACCAAAAGATAATTTTAAGGGAAATTTCTGGAAGGTGAGCCAAAATTGTCTTTAAAAATGGATTACGCCATATAGATTCCCATGCTTCCTCACTTCCTGAAATTTCTATGTCAGTTTCCCATCTCATTCAAATAACTTTTGTGTTGCCCGCAAAGTTGTCTAATATCATACCATATATCACTGAAACTGCCCCTTTCAGAAACAATGGAATACTGAAGTTTATATAAAACATGCAGGGATTTCTGCTATGCGAAATGAACCATGGAAAGAGAAGAAGGGGAGCCACTGATATTTTAAAGTTGACTAAATGAATATTCTGATATTTAAAGAAATGGCCCCTTTCATAGCATGGCTAGGACTGTTACTGTTGCCACATGTTTTCAGTTACATGTTACTGTTTCGACATTTTCAACATATACAATCAAAACACAATCAACTATTTTCTCCTGTTTTTGTCGACTTCCCACCCCGTTTTCAATGGAGCTCTTATTTCTCCCCTTCTTCTTCACCCTGTCCTCTATCTATTAAATCATAACCACATTATTATAATCTAATTACTTCTGTTGCTCATAGCTCAAATCCTAATCTCGAGTTCATCCATACTATAATATTTCTTTAAGTAGCCCAGAAAAGGCATCCTTTCTCCCATAAAACACTCGTCAATAGATTCTCTTAATTTTGCTCTTCAGTTTGCCAGTTCTGCACCGTCTTCTATCCTACTTATCCATTCTTTTTTGGTGGGATCCTCCTCATTTAATTCTCACGACAACCCTGTGAGGTAGGTTAGGCAGCGAGGCAGCGGCTGGCCCAAGGTCACCCAGTGAGCTTCATGGCTGAATGGAGATTTGTAGAATTGTAGCGGAGGGGACCCTGAGGGTCATCTAGTCCAACCCCCTGCGACGCAGGAGTCGCAACACGGAGTCCCCCATCCAAACTGACCAGATCTGAACCTTTTGCCCAACTCTGGATCAAAAACTGATGTCACTGTTGGGAGTCAGTTGGCATTGAACTCTGATTGAACTCTTTCTGTGTTTTCATTCACAGACCTCTTCAAAACACCCACACAGGGATCGATCTGTCCGTTCCAGAGTACCAGGAAATCCGGGGGAAGATGATGTCAGGCCATGTGGAATATAATATTGTTGCCGTGACGCAGCTGCCTGCTTTCAAATCAGCAAAGCACAAGCCAGAAGACATCATTCAGTTTATGGTAATCCACTATGAAACAGTTGTTGTTGCTGTTGAACTGTTGTTATGTAACAGAGAGAGCGCATATGGATACCTTTTACCTTCATGACTAGATCCTTATTGGGGGCTTGGGGCCCCTTTCTGAACAATGTGGGGAGGAAGGGACCCTGGACTTTAAAGGACCTTTGTCTCCTAGGATTTCTCCCAGGATTTAAGGCAGTGATGGCCAAACGTGGCCCTCCAGCTGTTTTGGGACTACAACTCCCATCATTCCTAGCTAACAGGACCAGTGGCCAGGGATGATAGGAACTGTAGTCCCAAAACAGCTGGAGGGCCAAGTTTGGCCATCGCTGATTTAAGGCATTATGTTTCTACAGTGGTATCTCTAGTTGCGGACACGATCCATTCCAGGGTGCTGTTCGCACCCCGAAAAGTCCACAAATAGAGCGGCGCTTCTGCACAAGCGTGGAGTGCGATAGAGCACTTCTGCACATGCACAAAGCGTGCAGAACGCTTCTGCGTGTGTGTGCGGGGCGAAACCCGGAAGTATACACTTCCGGGTTTGCTGCGTTCACAACCCGAAAAGCCGCAACGTGAAGCAAATGGAACAAGAGGTATGACTGTATTTCGAGGGAAAACATGACAGATTGTATCTTCTTTTGCTACAAAAATTGGTTTGATTAAAAAAAAAAAGAGTTGCCTTAAGTATTCAGTGGAACAGTGTAGCAGCTACTTATGTTGTAAGCACTCCCTGCAAACAAATGCTCATATTGGGAAATATCCAAAGCCGATCGCTTTAAGAAAATGGCCATTTGATTTTAGAAGACAGATTAAGATGTTTGCCTGTAGCACAGAGGAAACGAAAAGCTTCTTGGCAGTTTATGTTAATGGATAGTTGTAAGCTGGTTCCTACATACAAGCCCATCCTTTGATGACTGTGTGGTGAGAGCCAGTGTGGTGTAGTGGTTAAGAGGGATAGACTCGTGATCTGGTGAACTGGGTCTGTGTCTCCGCTCCTCCACATGCAGCTGCTGGGTGACCTCAGGCTAGTCACACTTCTCTGAAGTCTCTCAGCCCCACTCACCTCACAGAGTGTTTGTTGTGGGGGAGGAAGGGAAAGGAGAATGTTAGCCGCTTTGAGACTCCTTCGGGTAGTGATAAAGCGGGGTATCAAATCCAAACTCTTCTCTTCTTCTTCTTCTTCTTCTTCTTCTTCTTCTTCTTCTTCTTCTGTATTGTCAAACAATGATTTGCATGTGTGAATGGGCGATAATGCTTTGTATGTAATGGAATTACCTACCCCACCCCCAATTTATATTCACCTGTATGATTGTTCTCAGTGGAGCCAGTTCACACATCCAGTCATTGAGTGTAGTAGAGATTTCTGAGCCGAATGTGTGAAATGGCACCACCACTCATTCTGTGGCAAGTGTAGACCAGACCAGACCTGAGATCTGTTAGTCTAAGGCAAAAGTACAGGACACAACTAGGGCTGCTGTGACTTCTAAGCAGGTGTAGGTCTTCTTGGCACTGAGCCTAGTACAGTGGTACCTCGGGTTACAGACGCTTCAGGTTACAGACGCTTCAGGTTACAGACTCTGCTAACCCAGAAATATTAAGAACTTTGCTTCAGGTTGAGAACAGAAATTGCACGACAGAGGCGGGAGGCCCCAATAGCTAAAGTGGTGCTTCAGGTTAAGAATAGTTTCAGGTTAATAACGGACCTCCGGAATAAAATAAGTACGTAACCAGAGGTACCACTGTATTGTCAAACAATGATTTGCATATGTGAATGGGCAATAATGCTTTGTATGTAATGGAATTACCTCACCCCACCCCCAATTTATATCCACCTGTATACAGTGGTACCTCAGGTTCCATACGCTTCAGGTTACAGACTCCGCTAACCCAGAAATAGTACCTCGGGTTAAGAACTTTGCTTCAGGATGAGAACAGAAATCGTCCTCCGGCGGCACGGCAGCAGCGGGAGGCCCCATTAGCTAAAGTGGTGCTTCAGGTTAAGAACAGTTTCAGGTTAAGAACAGGACTCTGGAACGAATTAAGTACTTAACCTGAGGTACCACTGTAATTGTTCTCAGTGGAGCCAGTTCACACATCCAGTCATTGAGTGTAGTAGAGATTTCTCAGCCGAATGTGTGAAATGGCACCACTCAACCAGCATTTTCCATGGAGGTAATGTGAGAAGACAGATTCTGTCATGACTCATTCACACACATGCAAGCCATCACTTGATGCCATCAAGTGAGGAAAATGCTTGTGAACCTTTCCTTTGCCTCTAATGGAGGGATGGACAACTTTTCAACCTCCAGATATTGTCAGTCTCCAGCTTTCATCAGTCCCAGCCAATATGCCCAGTCACCAGAGAAAATGGGAAGTGGAGTCTTGCAACATCTGAAGGGCAACAGGTTCCCTATCTGCTGCAATGAACAGTGCTTAAGTTTTGGAAATGTTTTCTTCAGCTTCAGTTTTTATGCAGGGCATGGCGAACCTGTGGTCCTCTGGAAGTTGTTGGACTCCAAGTTCCATCATCCCTAGCCAGCATTGTAAAGCATGATGGGAGGTGTAGTCCTATTGATACCCAGTGCTGGATTAAACCCTGTGGAGGCTGCTAGGCAGTCAAAATCTGGCCTTGGAAATTATCTCCTAATACTTGAATGTAGTCAGTACAGTGGTACCTCAGGTTCCATACGCTTCAGGTTACAGACTCCGCTAACCCAGAAATAGTGCTTCAGGTTAAGAACTTTGCTTCAGGATGAGAACAGAAATTGCGTGGCAGCAGCGAGAGGCCCCATTAGCTAAAGTGGTGCTTCAGGTTAACAACAGTTTCAGGTTAAGTACGGACCTCCGGAACGAATTACGGTAAGTACTTAACCTGAGGTACCACTGTATTATTTTGATCCCTTGTCGCAGGGCCCCTAAAGGCATGGGGCCCATAGGGCAGTGCGTACTCTGCCTATTTGGTAATCTGGCACTGATGACACCACATGTCCCCTATACTTGCACAAAGCCATGCGACATTAAAGCGACTTTGTTCCTTGGTTCCTTGTTAGACACCTCGGTTGCTCTGATTTCCATCCCTTTCTCAGGAGATAATTAATTTAAACATTCCAGTCCCCCACTGGAATGGTATTTTCATCCTGCGAAATATTTTTGGGTCACTGTGGCATGGTCAAATACCTTAAATAGTTTAGCCGGTGTAGCTAATCTGAAATCTTGAGCTTGTTGCAGGCAGTTGAAAGGGAAAGAAGGTATTCTTTCCCCACATGAGAGAGAGATGTCACATTCTGTTGCGTTGGTGTTTCCAACCAAAGTAGTTGTGGCATGAAAACCTACTCAGTTTCACCATGACCTGTTACATTATCCAGAGCTATTTAAAGCTTATCTGAGCAGCTTCATCTTGCCAGCCACCAACCTCTGAAGTCTTGTGTATGTTTGTAATTATATACAGCAACACACTTAGTAAGATTCCTTCTATTATTATTATGTTTTTCATTTTAAGCCTAAGCAATAAGTAAAAGCTGGAATATGACCATAACGAACCTGAGATCTCCTAGGCACTAGGGTAGGGCTCGGGGGTAGGGCTCGTGTTTGGCATGCAGGAGGTTCTAAGTTCAGTCCCTGGCATCTCCAGGTAGAGAGAGCCTTGTCTCAAATCCTAGGGAGGCCCTGACTGGCATTGTAACCAGTGCTGAGCTAGAGGGAGCAATGACCTGATTCAGTAGAAGTCCTATGGGGGAGATTAAGGTAAAGGTAAAGGGACCCCTGACCATTAGGTCCAGTCGTGGCTGACTCTGGGGTTGCGGTGCTCAGGTCGCTTTATTGGCCGAGGGAGCCGGCGTACAACTTCCAGGTCATGTGGCCAGCATGACTAAGCCACTTCTGGCGAACCAGAGCAGCGCATGGAAACGCCGTTTACCTTCCCGCCGGAGCGGTACCTATTTATCTACTTGTGCTTTGAGGTGCTTTCGAACTGTTAGGTTGGCAGGAGCAGGGACCGAGCAACGGGAGCTCACCCCGTCGCGAGGATTCGAACCGCCGACCTTCTGATCGGCAAGTCCTAGGCTCTATGGTTTAACGCACAGCGCCACCCGTGTCCCTTATGGGAGAGATTAGTAGCGTTCAAAATTTGCCAGGCGCCAGGTGCATTTGGTGCCTGGCTATCGGCCACTTGCGACCAAGTGATGATGCCCGGGTGCCAGGATGGCGCCTGACGTCTCCCCCATCTGGAGGTGCATTCCTGGGGATCCTTGGATCTTGCCTGTTTTCACACACCGACAACACATCCTTTAGAATTCTCTCTGTGAGAATTTATCTGCACAATCAGAACAAATTTCAGGAACCAGGAAGTCGTCTTTGAGCCATCTGGCCCCCAAATGGCAACTAGATGTTCTGTTTTGGTGGCTGAAACCCTGGTTTTAGGAGCCATTTGACACCTAGTTAATATATCTGAGTTTCTAACACTGGATCAGGAGATGTCAATAATAAAGCACAAGTGAAGTCTGAAAAGAAATTGCAGAGGGCAAGAGGGATTTTTCTCCTTCTATTTTACTTCCTCCCCAGCATGTTCCCTCTCTTTCTCTCAAAGGTACCCATGCAGGTAAGTGTGTCCTTTCTATGTTTGAAATGTACTTTCTATGTACATAGAAATGTACTTTCTATGTACATTTCTATGATTCTTTGAGTAAACATTTATAAGGTTGCCCTGAACACTCATCGCTTGCAAAAGCTGCAGTTCCCCCCCTCCCCAAATTATGCTTGGAAATCCCTTACTCTTTTCCTTGCTGTATTGAATTTGATCCTTTCTTTTCCTTCTCTTCTTTCTTTCTCTCTTTTTCTCCTAACACGTTTAGGTGGCATTTTTATCTCTGATTCTGATACCACTGTAAAAAGCATACAAAGCTAACAGCCTAGACCAGGGGTCAGCAACCTAAGGCCCATGGACAGGAAGCAGCCCGCGGAGGTCGTTTGACTGGCCCACAAGCTGCCCCTGGTGCAGCGCAGCACAGAGACTCACTTCCGCGGCTCTGAAAACCGTGTCTGCGCAGACGCCTAAAAATTGCGGGTGCGCACGCAATCTGGCCCACAGAGGGATCTCTGTGGGACCGATCCAGCCCAGGCAAGATAAACCTTGCTGACCCCTGCCCTAGACTCTCACACATGTCTTCACAGAAGTAAGCACCCTTGAGTTCAGTGGAGCTTACACCCAGGCAAGTCGTCTTCTTTGGCGATCACTTGTAGCCAAGTAAGATTGTCTTCCATGAACATGGTTTTAACAGGGAGTCCGTAAGTGACTGTGGAGGCCAATTCTGGATCCACACGTCCTTCCACAGTGGGGAGATAGGTTTCCGGGTAGGAGCTGATCACGGTGAGGGTTTGCCAAGTGTGCCTTCCTCTTTGCACGTTTCTCCCTTTCATCCTGAGTTTGAGCGTCTTCAAAGTTCATGATACCTTTGGTAAAGGTTGTTCTCCAATTGGAGCGCTCGCAGGCCAGTGTTTCCCAGTTGTCAGTGTTTATACTACATTTTTTTAGATTTGCCTTGAGAGAGTCTTTCGTTGACCACCAGCAAGTGAGTATAGGATTGAAGGCTAACATCCAGGGGCATTACAGCTCAGTCCGTTGAGTATGACGTGGGTCGTGGGTTTGAACCCCACGTCGGGCAAAAGATTCCCTCATTGCAGGGGGTTGGACTAGATGATTCTTGTGGTCCCTTACAATTCTACAGTTCTGTGTTACTATCATTTTAAGTACTTTAAAAGACTTTGGACACATGGATAAATTTGCCTCTGGCCAGATCAGCATGGAGGGTGGCAGAATCTACTGCCACGTCACCAGCCACCCCTAGGGGAAAAAATGCAGTTTAAAAAGGGGTGAGAAGGGGCTGGAGCAAAAGATATGGGCCTCAGACTCCCTAGGCCACCCTGCCTTGTGCAGAAGTGAGACCATTAGCTCTTGGTGGTTTCAGACCAGGAGACACCCACTTTGCTGCCTAAGTTGCTAAACTTAATGCAAACTTTCTCCCAGCCATTATTCTTCCTATGTTGTACTCCAGGGTTGGAGACATATTTATAGCACCTTTGATGCAGTGACAAGCTCTACTGTGACATATCTTGCTGGATCGACCATTAATAGGGAGCATACGCTGTTCTCTGTGTGTACAGGTTTATTTTTAAGGATGTCGTTTCTGTAGCAAAACTAAGAAATGTAGAAGAGCCTGAATCTTTTGAGCGGTATATGGTTCCAGTAGAGGGCACTCAAACACCATTCAAGAGCATACTTACCTAGGCCTGGAGGTGACCAGAAAGACAGAGTTCATTCTGGTGATGTTAAGAACAGGGAATGCACTGAGTGCTTGTGCTTGGAATCGTAGAATCACTGAATGGTCAAGTTGGAAGGGATCCCAGGGGTCTTCTAGTCCAGCCCCCCTGCAATGCAGTAATCTTTTGCCTAGTGCGAGACTCAAACTCATAACCCTGAGATTAAGAGTCTCATGCTCTACTGCTTGAGGTATCCCAGCTTGTTCTTACTTGAAATCAATGGATCGTCTACACCAAGCAATATGTTTATTATCCAATGTGATGGTGAAGGAGTCCTGTTCCGTGAATTTATAAGAAGAGGAGCTTCCAGTGTGGCTGTTTATTGAGAATTCAAGCTGATATGTTTGCATAAAGGTTGCACGGAGTTTATTCAACACCACCAGTTTATTAAACATTCATCCTGATACATTATCATGGACGTTATATGAAATTGCCAGGTTCTGGTGATTATCTCACACTTTTCCACTGCAATTTTCTATCATTTTTGTTATCAGAGTTTTTTCCAGTAAGAAAAATCATGCAATGTTTGTACTAGGAAGTGCAAGGTAGCTCTCAAAGTTTGTGTGAATAAACTGCCCATCTAGATCTGCCCTTTAAGGTTAAATACAAGCATATTTGGAAACTAAAAGTTGGTGGTGGTTCGAACCATGGTTCTACCCATAGGTAGGCAAACTAAGGCCCAGGGGCCGGATTTGGCCCAATCGCCTTCTCAATCCGACCTGTGGACGGTCCGGGAATCAGCGTGTTTTTACATGAGTGGAATGTGTGCTTTTATTTAAAATGCACCTCTGGGTTATTTGTGGGGTCTGCCTGGTGTTTTTACATGTGTAGAATGTGTCCTTTTATTTAAAATGCACCTCTGGGTTATTTGTGGGGTCTGCCTGGTGTTTTTACATGTGTAGAATGTGTCCTTTTATTTAAAATGCATCTCTGGGTTATTTGTGGGGCATAGGAATTCATTCATCCCCCCCAAAAAATAATATAGTCTGGCCCCCCACAAGGTCTGAGGGACAGTGGACCGGCCCCCTGCTGAAAAAGTTTGCTGACCCCTGAGCTACATCCTAAAATACAAGATGAGATTTATGGATCTGTGTTCCCATTCAGATTTTGTTTGTTTATTTGTTTCAGTGCTACTATGGTTTTCTTCTCAGTCTTTAAAATTATAGAGTTGGAAGGAGCTTTGAATCTGCAATATTGCATTCCTGACAGTTGGCCACCCATGCTCTGAATAAGTATCACTCATTTATCACTTATTAAGTATCTTGCTCGGAATATTGCTGATTAGTTCTGTCAGCCAAGAAATGGCCTTGTCCTTAAATCAGCGTGTGAACAGATTGTCAAAGTGGTCAATGCAAATCCACAGAAGCTTTTTGCTCCTTGTACAGATAATCCCTTGTGAGCATTTCTGGGGCCACAAACAAAGGCACTTCTGTAAACAAGGCAGAAACTGTGTTCAGAAGGTCCCATATAGCAGCCACCAGCGGAAGAATGGGCTCTTCATGGCAACTGTTTCCTTCCTAAGTTTATAAAATTTTCAAGCATTCATTTCATTTCTTTTTCCCCCGATTTTCATTTCTTTATTTATACTTTTCAAGTTTGTGCGCTGTGGCAAGCTTCTCCATATTTGTCATTTAACAACAAAGACAAATTCTGCCTATTCTGCTTACAGGTCTCAAAGAAGTACAGCGAGATTGAGGAGTTTTATCAGAAGCTGGCCACACGTTACCCACAATCCTCTCTGCCACCGCTGCCAAGGAAAGTGCTGTTTGTTGGGGAGTTTGACATCCGGGAACGGAGAGCTGCGTTTAATGAGATCATGAGATCCATTTCCAAAGACACAGATCTAGCAACAAGTCCCGAGTTAATGGAATTCCTAGGTAACTCCCAAGCATGTTTTTGTAATGGTAACATGTCTTTTATTCAATATCCAGTGACCCTTTAAGCTTTTGAATACCAGAGAAATTTTGCAAAATCAGCTGCATCTCCTATCAATTTTCAAGACACTTTTCCCCCTTAAGGTATTAAATTCTCATGTCCAAGTACCTCTGCAAACCTGCTAGATTTGCTTTCCTACAAACCCTGTGCTCAGATTGGTCTTGAATTTCATAAATACTCCATTGCCTCATTGTGAGATTTGGTTTTAAAAGCACCCTGTGACCTAGACATGTTAATGTGCTTTAAGAAGAAAAAGCCACACCTTCGTTATTAATATGAGAAACTGTCTAGGCAACATGGGCTGTGTAATTTTCTTTTTTAAAAAGGCCAGAATTCTACACTAAGGTAACCCAAGTGTTCCAGTAAGAGTTTGCAGCCTTAATTTTGTGTGTGTGTATTTTCTCGTTTTATATAATTTATTCCATACAACTTGCTCACTGTACGGAGGGCAGAGAGCAATGTAAAGTGTAACATCCCTGTCTGAATCACTCAGGATCTTGCCACTGAGATTTCTCTAGGCGTTATCCACACAATGAGTTAGATGCCAGATTTTATATAAAAAACCCTGACATTTTCAAAACACTGAGTTCTTCCTGGAATGCAGCCACTATGTTTGTACCAGATGATAGCAGAATTGCAGGACGCGCACTGCCGTGGTGATGTTACCAGTGGTGGACCTGCACAGCTGCTCAATATATGTATGCATGGCTTAAAATTGGGTGGCTGACCTCTGGCCCTTCAGATATGGAGGAACTCCAACTCCCACCAGCCCTAGTCAGTATGCTGAGTGTGGGCAGGGAGTTGCTGTCCAGCAAAATCTGGAGGGTTACTGGTTCGTCACCCCCGCTTCAAATGCACTGTGGGAAGACTAGGCGCCTGGTTACTTTTGAAAGTAGCAGAAACTAAAGCCTCTGTTTGGTGTTGAAACTGGGTGGCAATCAACCATCTGCATAGCAGCCTCCATAACATGGCTGGTTTTGGGATCTAATGTCATCATGGTTATATCTTCTTGCATTGCAGGGGGGTGGAATACATGACTCTCGCGGTCCCTTCCAACTCTAAAATTCTATCTGAATTACAGGAAAGTATTCATTTATTTCAACAATTTATAATACTGCCATTGGTGTGTATAAAGGTAAAGGACCCCTGGACAGTTAAGTCCTGTCGAAGGCGACTATGGGGGTGTGGCGCTCGTCTCGCTTTCATGCCGAGGGAGCCGGCGTTTGTCCACCGACAGCTTTCTGGGTCATGTGGCCAGCAGGACTAAACCGCTTCTGGTGCAACGGAACACCGTGAGGGAAACCAGAGCGCATGGAAACGCTATTTACCTTCCTGCCGCAGCGGTACCTATTTATCTACTTGCACTGATGTGCTTTCGAACTGCTAGGTTGGCAGGAACTGGGACCGAGCAACGGGAGCTCACCCTGTTGTGGGGATTCGAACCGCCAACCTTCTGATCAGCAAGCCCAAGAGACTCAGTGGTTTAGACCACAGCACCACCCGCGTCCCATTGGTGTATATACATGGCATAGGAGCCAACTCCTAGGGGCTGAGGTCTCTTTGCTCCCCCCTAAAACATTTGAGGGGACTGGGGCCCCCAAAGTTGATGGACATTGCCATTAAAATGATGTGGGTGTGCCCTGTCATGTGATTGATTGTGTGGGGCGGGGCTTACTTGTTCCCCCTCCCCCTGGATATTTTATTAAAGTTGGCACCCTAACGCAAGGTTACAAAAGTGAAGCCTATCTTGTTTTTCTGAAATCTCCAGGTGGCTTATTGCAATGTGTCCATGGCACTCTTTGAAATCCCACATCAGAGTGGCTAAAAATGACAGGCAACTAACAACTGAGCCAGACAAACTCTATGATGCTCAAATGTACTGTTTCGAGGCCCTGTAATCGGGAAATTTTAAAATGTCTGATGTTTTACAATTTTTTTAATGTGTGTTAGCCACCCAGATGGGTGGGTTAATAAATAATATAATATATAATGTAATAATATAATATAATATAATATAATATAATATAATATAATATAATATAATAATTAATATAATATATTCCATATACAATGGTTTCAGTGAGGTCTGCCTGGCACCTTCCCCCACCTGCCTTTAGTAGACTGAGATGCTGTTATGTTTTTTAATGTGCTGCCAAGATTCCTGCAGCTGTTATGAGGGTTGTTTTGTTCTATTTTTGTAGTATAAGTATTTATATTCATGTTTTTAAATGTGTTGTAAGTCACTTGAAGACCTTTGGCCAACAAGTGGCTAACAAGTCTAATTAATGATGATGCTGATGATGACATAGTTCTCCATTTTGTTTGCCAAACAGTCAGAAGTTGGTGACGTTGGCACGGGACCAGAATACTCTCTTTTGAAGCCTCTGCGTTCAGTTTGTAGCAGGAATCCTCCCCCCCCCCCATCATTCAGTTTGTACAAACTTCACACACACTCACACTCACACACTACATACACTACGCTTCTGTTATAAATTCATAGAAAATCAACCATAGATCGGATTTGCACTGTTCCACTTTTATTTTACTCCATGAAGGAAGGACTACAAAATGGGGAAGATTTGATACAGGGCAGCCATAATCCCTTGAGCATACCAGCACATACACAGGAGCCCTACCCAGTTGCTATGCCAACCCTGATGGTCCTAGACAGAAGACAATCAAGATCACAAAGAACTTGCATATGGGAGTGGATTCAGCATGGACTGAAACAAAGGACAATGATCAGATCTTCCCTCTGGGGGCAGGAAACTGCCAACTCCCCTTTGTCTCCTGGAAGTGACTCGTGGGGAGGGGGAGAGAAGGGAATCAGCCAGGTGACAGGACACTCAGGTTACCACCACAACTCCTCCCTCAACCCCTCCTTTCTGTAATGTATGCATGATGTTTCTGGGGGTGGGCTTGAGCTACAGGAGGGGAATTTCAAAAGTTTTTATAAGGTCTGGCACACCATCTTTCTGGGTCTTTCCTCTCACCTGCAAGTGAGGGGAGCACCCTGTCGCGACAGTCTTTCTTCAATAAAGACCAAGCCTACAGGCTGCTGATTTGCTTCAATTTACTCTGGTTGGTGTCTTTACTTTTTGTCCAAGGGAGCCCTCGGATTTTTCCGGTAACAAGTTTTCCATGTTGTGCTTCTGCAGGAACCAGATCCACCAGCGCCACGGACATCAAAAGTAAAAACCTCCCCGATGCGGAAGACAAGGACGACGAAAACGAAGCCTTTGATTTCTTCAAAGAGGAAAGGACTCCTGACCCCGTTCCCCTGTTCAAATCCTCGGAAGAGCAGGATGTTAAAAAGAGAAAAGAGGAAGAGGAGGACGGGGATGATGATGGAGACCCTCTTGGTGTTATCAAGTATGACTTTTTAATTTTACCGTGCTCCTTATGCAAAATGTCCATCAGTAATTCAAACTAAATCTGTTCTGCCATACTGTCCTAGTGTGTACTTCTGAGCTGCAGGGCTTGAGAAAGGAGAGAGAAACAACTCAATTGTATGGGGAAGATCTCTCTATTTACAGCATCTCCAATTCAGGTGCTGTCAGGGAGCTGCCATCAGCTCAGAGGCAAGAGGTGGAAGGGCAGTTGTGTTACAGGGAGCCTCCAAAGATCTTGCGAAGTAGTTCTTCCTCTGGCAAGGAGGGAAGTCCCGCCTCCAGTGGGGAATGGGCGCAGGGATCAGAAGATGCTAGGGAGAGCCGCAACACCAAGCCTCAGCAAAGTGGAGGGGTGACAAGTCCCCCTTTGCCAACGCCCACTTTGTGCAGTAAGTTTGCGCGCAGAGAGGGGAGGAGAAGGGTGGGGGTCACACGACTGTTATGCTGGGGAAGGTATAAGGACAGCCCACTCCCAGATTGTGCTAGCGACTGAGCAGACATGGACCTGCGACACTGCACTGTAAAATAGTTTGTACAGATAATAAAGCCTGGAAAAGACAGGTTGGGGTCTTGCCTGTTTGCTCTCAACCAGCACCTGACAGGTGCCTAAAGATATTTGCTTGTCTTCAGTGCTGGGAGCAATCAAAGAAGGCACCTAGATCACTTAGGAATCTTTTGTGCAATGTGGGGCTCCAATCCAAGGATGGAGCTATCAGGAGATCTTGATTAATCCTCTGAATTCTCTATGAGAAGCCCCCACAAGCTGGACTAGATTATTTACATGAAAACATATGAGCAGGCGTGATGGTCATAACTAGGGCAAATCCCAGCCAGTGTTAAGGATGTGTAAATAGCACTTTGAAGTTTTCAACTTTTGGCTATAGTGTGTCTTCACTTCTTTCACTTTCCTTTGTTTTTTTCTGCACATCCCTGACAAAAAGTATTAATTCCAAAATCTGCACCCATCCATGTTGGCCCAAAACAAAGGCATTTCCTCATGTGTTCCACTGCAAAATGGAAAATGCAAGGAAGGAAGAAGGAATGCTTTTTATTTTTGGCAACTCAGAATAAGAACAAAATGTTACTTGGTAATTAAGAATTGCTATGGGATTCCCCCCCCCTTTTTTTTTTGCTTAAGATATATAGGCATACTGCAATGATTTTATGATTCCTAAAGGATTCCTGAGTGGTTATCATTTTCTGTCTAGTCATTATGCACTCTAAGCATTTTCATTTCACAACTTCTATATTGCTCAAAACTGAAAGTGTCCCTCTGGATATCTGAAATTCCAGAGTGCCTGGATTTAAAACACACTCACACACGCCACAAGCTGGATTGCTATTTTTGCTGAGAACCTTGATAAAGCATTGTTTTTCCGTGAAATGGTCACTGGCTGCAGGCATATACAAAAGAGAGTGTCCTTATTTGGATAGGAAAAAGGTCTTTCTGAACTGGGCATTATGTTTTCCTGGATATTCTGCTGAAACGAAAGGTATGTAGTTAAAATAATAATAATATCCCAATGTCCAAAGAAACAGAAAACCTGCTTCTTGGGCTTTGGCCGATCTGTTTTCTTAAAAGCCTTTTGTTCTGGGTTCAGAGGACCATAGAAAAGCTTCCGACTCAGAGAGGGAGGCCTTCTTCCCAGTGAAGCCTCTGCTACCTTTCCTCATTCAACAGGCCACTCCTGAAACCTGGGCAAACTTTTGTAAACATCAATGGAGCATGGAGCTCTGGCTTGAAAAAACAAAACATTGCACCCAGGCACTGGTGAAGGGCCTGCACAGCTTCTCCTAGTTCAGTTTTTATGGAGTAATAGAGCACAGTGTCGTCAGAATTGTGATGGCATCTTGCCCTGTATTTTCTAATGACCTCTCCTAACTGCTCCATGTAGATGTTAAACAACATTGGGAGTATAATCATAGCGATACCCTATAGCAGTACCTCACAGACAGGGGTCCAAAGAGCACTCTTCCAACATGGTTCTCTGCATGCAACCCCATATGTGAGAACAGAACTGCTATGCACCTGATACCCGTCTCAAAGAGCCTGTCCAGGAGGATGGAGTGGTCAATGGCATAAAGATCTGCAGAGAAATCAAGGAGGAACAGAATCGTCTTCTGCTTGTCCTCTTCTTAGTCATCCATCGGGGTGATCAAGGCTGATTCAGTCCCATCACCAGGCCCAAACTCAGATTTAATTTGGGCTAGATGATTCATATCATCCAAGAATATGTATAGTTGGCCTGCCATGGCCCTTTTCACTACCTTCCCTGAAAAGGAGATATTTGTGACTGGTCGGTAGATAGTCTAAGCCAATTAATCATCTAGTCCAACTCCCTGCATTACAGGAATCTCAGCCAAAGCATCCATGACAGATGCTCATCCAACCTCTGCTTGAAAACCTCCAATGAAGCAGAGTCCACAGCCTCCCGTTCCACTGGCAAACAGCTTTGTCAGAAAATTATTCCTGATGTTTAGTTGGAATCTCCTTTCTTGTAACTTGAAGCCATTGGTTTGAGTCTTAGCCTCCAGAGAGGAGAAAACAAGCTTGCTCTATCTTCCATGTGACAGTCCTTGAGATATTAGAAGCTGGCTCTCATATCTCCTCTGAGTCTCCTCTCTTCCAGGCTAAACATACCCCTCACATCTAAAACAAAGTGGGCTTAATGTGTTGGACCTTCTTTTCTTTTTTCAAAACCTTCTTTTCTCTCATATGGCCAATGGCCATATGGGAGAGCCCCAATATTGCCACGGGGACCATGGTTCTAACTATGGAAGGCAGCATACAAATACAGTGGTACCTCGGGTTACAGACGGTTCAGGTTACAGACTCCACTAACCCAGAAATAGTACCTCAGGTTAATAACTTTTGTTTCAGGATGAGAACAGAAATCGTGCGGCGGCAGTGGGAGGCCCCATTAGCTAAAGTGGTGCTTCAGGTTAAGAACAGTTTCAGGTTAAGAACAGACCTCCAGAACAAATTAAGTTCTTAACCAGAGGTACCACTGTAAAACGATGTATGTATCTAGTAATTTGCTTTTGATGTGGACCTGAATTACTTGGCTTCCAGTCCTGCCCTCCTAGTTGCAAGCATGGGTGGTCACCCTGTTAACTGATTTTTGTCAATGAGTAGGCTGCCTCAAAATAGGAGAGGGAGCAGGGCCTGTAAATGGTTTAAATGAATGAATGAGCTAACTTAGCCTGGATTGCACCCTCAATAATGACAAGAAAACTTATCTCCGTCCTGAGGCACAGTGTGAAGTATGCAACTACATGGCCACCTATTCAGAAGGGTTCCACATCTTCAAGCCCACACAGCTGCAAAGACTCTGGGTCCCGTCCCCCCCCCCCCCGCTTTTGACAATCGCCAGCTTACAGGCCGAAGCCTTCAAGGCTGCTCGGCCATTGAGCGAGTGCCAAGTGATGCAAGTGTTTGCAAGTGCTTTGAATCCCAGCTGCTTGTCAGATTTTTAGACAACTTTTGTCAGCCCTGTGACGCACCCTTTTGTGTCAGAGTCGCTTCCTGACTTCCTTGCTCCCCTCCAAATGTGTTGGCACAGCAATGTACTTTGATCTGGCAGCCGTTGAACTAAGTACTTTGTTTTATATTGTGCAAATCCCCTTAGTTTAATACAAAAGAGACATATGAGTGGGGGATCCTTCTCCAGTATAATTTAAATGTGCAGTTTAAGACTCTTCTCAGATGTGAGGTAAGGTAGTTGTTAGATGCAAGGTAAGGTAGTTGTTAAATAGTTGTACAAAGTCCTCCCCACTTAATGAGTGTGGTTCTGTTTTTGTAGATGGCTGAACAGCCTGTCCAGTCCTCACCCATGCTGAAGGCTGTATCTACCTTGCCTCTGCTGGCACTCAGCCACATTAGTAAAAAAACAACATTTCAAATGCGTTATAAGCCTGCAACAGCAGATGGCACCAGAGAGCAAAAAAATTCTGTGCGATTTTTTTCATAGCGGGTTTTTTTTTTGTTATAACGATTTAATTTCTGACTTATTTATAGTGCTTTTTTCTTCCTGTGTGTAGAGATCAACCCCAGGACTGCCACACCATCTGCATATGTAGAGTTAGGGCAGCAGTAATGCTTGCTGGTCGCTTCAGATCCACAGCTGTCTTTGTATCCCCTTTGCCTCCCCTTCTCTTCATAGTATATTTAGCAACAATCACACATTTTGTAGCTTGGCAGCTGTGGGAAACCAGATGACATGATGGTGATGTGAGGGCTAGATAAAACCTGAGCTAATGTCCTTGCAAGCAGCTTGGGAAAGTTTTGCACTGAGTGGAAAAAACGGAATCGCCAAGGCCTGTGCTGTTGTTGTGAAAATACAGAGAATCCCTGTAAAGCTTGCTTTCCACAAACAGCTGCTGAGGTGGCAAAGCTGTACCATAGAACTGAACTGAATTGTAGAGTTGGAAGGGAACTCTCTTCAGTGCAGGAATCCTGCCCACAGCTGTGTGGGAATGTTGAGGATAGGAGGAGAGGATATATTGATTAAATATCATCCTTCTTTCACTCACGCTAGTGAGTCACGTAGAAGGAAGCTAATTTGCAGATTTGTTTGAATCTCTTTAGTTAAGCAATCCACTCTGGCTTGCCCAGATTGGATTATTCCTGTTAAGTCCCCGTTGATCTCTTTTAAAAGAATGAAGACACAAGAGTCTTTCCTTAAAAGTAACAAGAAGTTTACTCACATTCATCTCCCAGGAGATCCCTGAAGGCAGGCTTTAGCTAGTAGTTACAGAACAAATTGTGAGTTCATCCCATATTGGGATTGAGCCCCTGTGCTGCTGGCTGAGAGCCAGCAGACAGCAAAATACGTTAAGAGAAGAAAATGGCATCAAGAGAAAGATGGCAGCATGGCAGCCAGGGTCACGCCCATCTGCTTGGTCACATGCAGGGGAGGATGTTCCAGACCAGTAAACAGGAAGTTATATTGGCTGGAGTAACATCCCCCTGCCTGTGTCCACTCTAGGGAAACAAGGAATGTTGTATTTGACTGCTCCAATGGATTACATCCCACAAGCTGTCCCTAGGTGAGCTTGGACCATCAACCTTCTGGTTAACAGGAAGACACACTTACCTGTGTGGACATTTCAGGCTGCAAGGTGAGCAGCAGGGCTCACATTGTGAAATACTCCCCTTAACGTAAAATCGGTTCCTACATGTGAAATGCTAGTCTTGTAAGGGAAAAGGTGAGGCTTTAATCCTACCGAAAGCGTAGGGTTTGCTTTAACGCAGAGTTATTGTGTTTAAACGCAGAGTTATTGTGTCCCATGCTAAAGAATGGAAAGATGAGCGCAAATTGAGCAAAAGAGAACTGATTTGACGTTCGTGGGAGCTGATGGCAATAGTCATATTAACAATAACTCTAAAGAAAAATGGAAATGGTAAATAAAGACTGGGTGAAGGGTTGCCTGTTGCACTATTTGAAAAAAAGAGAGAGCTTAAGTTTTATTATAAGCAAAGATAGCAAAATATATCCTGTGTGTTCTTATGTATGTTCATTATATCCTATTTACTGCACATCACACAAGTAGAATGTAATATCACTTTTGTATGATATATTAGATATTTAGAAGAATGAACAGATGGAAAATAGGGATATATTTGAAATTCATTAAAAAAACAAAAAACCCATGGGGATGAAATGGGGGAGCGTTGGCAGTCTGCAATTGAAGAGCCCAGATACAGGTTTGGTAGCTAATCTGTAGTTTATGTGGAATGGGATAGCAGTCTTTTAAAAAAGCTAAGAAGGTTTAGTGCCACAGCTAATACAATTCAAGGCTGCTTCTTTCTGCAGCTTTGGAATTGAGCAAACGGGGCAGATTGAAGCACCTTTTGTCTTAGGGACTTTGCAATAATAGGATGACTCAGCTCTCAAAATAGAATTTGGAATGGGCATTACCTCATCCACCAGCTTCCCAAGCCTCTTCCCAAGGAACAGGAAATGTTGAATCACTCGATTCACAGAGTGGGTTCTGTTGACAATGGTAAACCTTAATGGGGGGTGGATTTCAGTGGCCTGTTTTGCTGAGCCTTTAATGAATAACTGGCTTGGCTTTTGAAAAGGCTTATTCATAGCAGCGAAAGTGTATGTAGGTTAGCAGAAGTCTGGTCTTGACTGTTTGTGATGGGCATTTCCTGATGCTTCTCAGTGTTTTGCAAATGTTCTGCAAATAAGCCCACAAATTCGTCTACATTAGTCATCTGTACTGGTGTCCTGAAGAGTCACCACTGGTTACCAGGCAAGTGGCTATTTGCAAGGGTATCCTTTGTCATGTTTACGATCCTGAGAAGAGTTGATATACATAGAATCATGGAGCTGGAAAGGACTTCAAGGGTCATCTAGATGTGAGACTGACACACAGGGCTTCCATGTTTCAACATGTTAAGGCATCTTTTCCCAACCTGGTGCCCTTCAGGTACAACATGCGAAAGGCACTAGCTTAGGGAAGGCTGGAACCCAAAACCTCTCCCCATCCCAATCAGTTTCTTGTGAACAATCGTTTATGTGAACACAAACAATTTTAGGGGAATGCTTGAAATCATCATAGAATTTCCAGCTAGCGGGGTTGGCCTGTCATGTTTCATAAAGCATCTTGCAGATGACAAATGTTTGGAGGAGAGCGGGGGATGGGCAAGAAACGCTGAGTGCTAAAAATAGAGCTAGAGTTTTGTGTAACATTTTTGTCCCCCTTCCCCCAATGAATGGGGCATGTTCTTGTCATTGCATTGTTTTATACTATTTGGAGGCTCCGTGATCATATTATAAAGGACAGTGGTACCTCGGGTTACAAACGCTTCAGGTTACAGACTCCGCTAACCCAGAAAGAGTACCTCAGGTTAAGAACTTTGCTTCAGGATGAGAACAGAAATTCTGGCGGCATGGCGGCAGCAGGAGGCCCCATTAGCTAAAGTGGTGCTTCAGGTTAAGAACAGTTTCAGGTTAAGAAAGGACCCCCAGAACGAATTAAGTACTTAACCCGAGGTACCACTGTAGTTGTGTTCTATGCTTTTAAATCAATCACTGCTAAGAGTTGTTCGTTTTCGCTTTCCAAGGTATTTCTTATCAATTTTTAAAAAATATCTGTGTGGTGTGAGCAAATTTTTATTCTGACCCAGTGTGTGACCCAGAGAAAAAGAAGTTTGAGAATTGCTGCATTAGACCTTGAATGTATTCCGTGAACCCATCGCTATTTTGCTTCCGGAAAATAGCACCAATGAGCCAATAATGGTAAAAACAACGTTGGGATGTTGGCAGAGCCAACTTTCTGCCTCTCCACCAGCAACAAGCCTCTTGAAGTAAGCTTGACAAAGGCCCAGTTTTGTGAAAAGCAAGGGCTACTTCAGGGAAGCTGCAAACAGTGCTATTAATAAACCAGCGCCAGGGCGAATTGTGAGGGCTTCTGTCGGTTCCCACGGAACATTGTGCTCTCCTGGCTCTTTGTGGTGACGTCATGCTGGGCGCTCGGTGGCACTTCTGATCAATTTCACTTCCTCAGTTTAATCCCTCTTACTGGATTTTGACTCAGCAGTCACCCTTATTTGGAGGAGGACAGACATCCACCTTTGGCTGGCTTCACTGTTCAACTATCCCACAAATCCATACAATTTTGCATTTGTACATTTTACACTGCTGACGGATACTCTTTTTTGCAATGGGTTGGGAGAGAAGGCATTTACTTGCTCAATGCAGATTTGTGGGAACGGTGCCTCCTTGTTTTGTAGTGACCTCAGGAGAACCGTGTCGCTGGTAAAATGTTAGTCACCAAGCAGTTCATGAGAGGTTCCCTTCCATAGAAGGGAATCGGCAGGATGAAACGTGGTTGCAAATACTGCCAACGCTGATACACACACACCTTTTCTTTCTTTTTTACACACACAGAAATGTAGCTAAAGTGTATTAATTGGGGTGTGAGTATCTTTATTATTTCAGCATATCTAAAAATAGATGTGGCACTAAACCAGCAAAGTATTTGACTTTGCAGATGGATTATTGGTTGTTGTTTTTTAAAAAAACTTCCATTATCCTTAAGTGTCTGTGACTGCCTTATTATTATTATTATTATTATTATTATTATTATTATTATTATTAAGATTTATATACCATCCTTCATCGTAAGATCTCAGGGCGGTTCACAGAACAAAATATAGGATAAAGACAAGTAAATAAGTACAGTGGTACCTCGTGTTAAGTACTTAATTCGTTCCGGAGGTCCGTTCTTAACCTGAAACTGTTCTTAACCTGAAGCACCACTTTAGCTAATGGGGCCTCCCGCTGCCGCCGTGCTGCCAGAGCACGATTTCTGTTCTCATCCTGAAGCAAAGTTCTTAACCTGAGGTACTATTTCTAGGTTAGTGGAGTCTGTAACCTGAAGCGTCTGTAACCTGAAGCACATGTAACCCGAGGTACCACTGTAGAACAAAACAGCAAAACAACTACTTCCCCCTTCCCAAAGACATGTTTTAAAGGCTGAAGAATATTAATCTGCCATTTCTTCTGCACTCAGATTTGGGAAGTGGAAGTGGCAACGGTAACATTTACAAAGAATCGGAAAGATGTGCCATCTCTGTAAATAAGGAGAGCATAGTGTGATCATTGCAACATTTCAAGAAGTTCTGTGGCAGTTGTGTCCAAGTCTAGGGTGGATCACTATTGAAATCTAATATGACGTTGACTGGAATGAGCACAAGCTTTGGGGAGAATTTTGTTAAGGCTTGACAGTGGGTGGCCGTTCGGAAAGACCTTGAGGACCTTGCTTCGATCCCTTCCAGTTCAAACAGCCTGATGGATCAGCCCTAAGGAAGTCAGTTTATCCTCCACCAGGGCCAGGGCCTTCTCAGTGATGGCTCCGACCTGGTGGAATGCTCTGTCCCATGAGACCAGGGCCCTGCAAGATTTAACTTCCTTCCACAGGGCCTGTAAGACACAGCTATTCTGCCTGGCTTTCAATTTGAACTTAGCCTGATCATTTATTCCCCTTCCTTCCTTCCCTCCCCCTCCCCCTTTTATGAAGATTACCCGCTATGGGATCCCACAGCTAATTCTCCCCCGGTCTCCTCGTTGGCCCAAATAGGACTAATTTAGCCAGCTAGCCCTGGTGATCATCTAATGTTTATTGGATGGATTTCCCCCCTAAATTGATTTTTGAATTCTGAATTTATTGTTATTCACGTTTTATACTGTATTTTATCCTGCTTTTTGTTGCATCAGTTAAGTGTTTTAAATTTTTTGTTAGCTGGCCTGAGCCTGGTTTCCTGAACCAGGAAGGACAGGGTATAAATAATTTATTATTATTATTATTATTATTATTATTATTATTATTATTATTCAAAGCCTACTTTAAGATAGCATATTAGGGGTGATCATGCATCCTTTGCAGGATTCACCTGAGCTTTATACTGCGGCTCCCTCTCCAGAAAGCACAGAGAAGGCTCTCTTTGGAATGGTCTTCCATTACAATTTTGGGTGCCAGTTCTTTTCATACCATTAGGAGCACATTGCAGGGTTCTGCACTGCTTTCTTCTTATCTTCCAGCAGAATTACCACTGTTATTTCCCCCCCCCTCTCTCTTAGAAAAGCAGCTGTCGAGTGGAATTGTGCCAGCGTGCAGCTAATAGCTGCTTTTGATTAGAGACATGGGGGAGAATGTTAAAGGGCGCCTCCTCCAGGCCACAAATCTCCCCCCTCCCCAAAATTCAATTTGTTAGTCCACAGGGTGGCTGTTCCTCTGGAAAAAAGAAAAGAAACACTCTTAACAGTGTCTGCTGGATTTTTCTGCTGTCATTTAAACCTCTAGATCTAAAAAGACTAAGAAACCCATGCCTCCTCCAGCCAAAGACGGGAAGCCCAAGTTAACGATTTTTGACGAAGAAGCTGTTCCCGATGAAGGACTGTTTGGCTCAGCTAAAGGGTTTTCATTCAGCAGCAGCAAGAGGATATTGGCAGCCGAAAAAAGTAAGTGTATTTCTAGTCAGCTCCTTGATGACACTCCGAAAATATGTGCCAAAGTTTCGCAAAGCTTGGTTGCAAAACTCCAAATCGCTCTATGGCAGCTTGGGCATACAGTCATTTATTCCAAAATGGAAAATGCCTTAGTATGCTCATTTAGATATGTGTAATGACTCCAATGGTTGAGTTGGGTTAAAAGCAAAGACCACTATCTCCCTCTTTTTCTCCCTATGAGGGCTGCATTCTTTTAAGGATATTCTTCCAGTGGCTACAGACCAGCAGTGGGGAGAACGCATTCAGAATCAAGCTGAATGAGGTCATCAGTGGTAGCTTATGCCCATTGGGTGGAAGACAGGAAAGCCAATATTCCATACCCTCCAACATTTCTCTGATTAAAATAGGGGCATCCTATTTATTATTAGTATTAATTTAATTAATTAATTAATTAATTAATACCCTGTCCATCTGACTGGGTTGCTTCAGCCACTCTGGGTGGCTTCCAACATATATAAGAATACCATGAAACATTAAACATTTAAAAACTTCCCTGTCTTCTAAAGGTTGTATAGTTACTTGTGGGTCTCATATCTCCATACACTCCAACATTTCTTGGATGAAAATAGGGACATGGATGGCGCTGTGGTCTAAACCACAGAGCCTAGGACTTGCCGATCAGAAGGTTGGCAGTTCGAATCCCTGCGATGGGGTGAGCTCCCGTTGCTCGGTCCCTGCTCCTGCCAACCTAGCAGTTTGAAAGCACCTCAAAGTGCAAGTAGATAAATAGGTACCGCTCTGGCAGGAAGGTAAACGGCGTTTCCGTGTGCTGCTCTGGTTTGCCAGAAGCGGAAGCTGTACGCCGGCTCCCTCGGCCAATAAAGCGAAATGAGCGCTGCAACCCCAGAGTTGGCCATGACTGGACCTAATGGTCAGGGGTCCCTTTACCTTTCCTTTAAGGAAAAATGGGACATTCCAGGATCAAATCAGAAACCGGGATGGCTTCTGTAAATCCGGGACTGGAAAACAGGGACACTTGGAGGATCCGATATTCAGGCTACTGCTGTGTACAAGTCAAATGTAGCTGTCATCTCTTTGTTCAATTATCAGATCTGAAATTGTTTGAAGATCCAGACCTTGGTGGATTGGTGACTCTGGGTGACTCGCTGCTGTTGCCAACAGCCTGTGCAAGCACGGAGCATGCATTAAGCGGTAGCCTTGAGGAGGACACTGAAGAACTCTTGAGGTACTAATCTTGGATGCATCGGAAGTCGTAGGGTCTTCAGTGTTCCCTAGCTTTGCAGAGCAACAGACATGTAGCAACTCTTCACATTCGGAAATGTCAACAGGCTAAACGGTAGCCCGACACCTTGATTTTCATTATCTGTAAATTGGTATCTGATCTAGCCCATACTAAGAATTTGTATTTTTTAATGCATGATGCAAATAACTTGTATATGAAGCCTAAGCGTTGAGGTGTATTCAGTTCTATGGTGTATCCAACAAAGTTGTCTTTTTGGTGCAAGGACTTCCACTTGTGTAATGGGACTTCCGCGCCTTTTGCACCCTGTAAATCTGTTCTGGAGGGTTGTGGAAACCCCCAATGTATTTGAGAGGCACGTGGTGCAAAGGAAGAAGGAGAGGGAGTTCTGTTGTACAAGTGGAAGTCGTTGGGTGAGCAGGATAAGTTCACTGGATGCCACCCTTAGGCCTCAGGATTCATAGTGAACGAGGTAGTATGCAACATAGTTTTAATCAGAGTTAAACCCATTGGAATGAATGAACACGACTAAGTGAGGCCTATTGATTTCAGTGGGCCTACTCTGAGTAACAATACCCATTGTTAATAGTTTTGTCCATTGTGGCACCAACCTTACTCATCATCTATAGCACAAATCCTTATGGTCAGTTTTGGCTTAGCAATCATTTGCAGGTTAAAGGCATACGATAACATGATTTAGAATTTCAGGTGACTAGAATAAATTGCACACTTTATTAGCGATCCGGGAGATTTTACAGACCCACATTTCATTAATTACAGGAATGCACTTGCATGCAAAATGTCCAGGCTAAAAGTCATGTTTTGAGTGACTTTCCGAAAGCTTTAATGATTGCTTACTAATGTGAGTGGGGGGCGGGGAATCCACTGTGTGAGGTCCCTTGGAATATGTGATTGTGGGCCTTCTTTTGTTTATACAAAGAGTACTTTTATTAACAAGTCACATCAGCAACACCTACCTTAATCTACTCAGAGGTAAAAATTTAGTTGCACATTGTTTCTTATGCATTGGCAACACATTTGATCTTCTAAGGCATGATGTCTTCAGGGCACAGCCTGATTTTTACTGGAGTGGAATATTTGAGAAGGAAGAACACACACAGTCATTAGCTGCCATCTATTGTTTTTCTTCTGTCTCACCCCAGTAATCAAAGATAGACATTTTGTCTGTATGGGCAAAACACCACCTTATGCAACCTTTGAATTAAACATAAACCACTGCAAACAGCTTCTTCATCTGTCAGATGAATATGCATCACATTATACGGATTATTCCAGCTTGGTAAAGTAAGAAAAAGGCCACTCTGGGCAGCTTTCAAAACATATAGAAACAAAGGTGCCATCTTGCGCCGAATATTGTGGGTGCCCGCAATGAAAGGCTTCAGCTTTGCCCATTGACTTGGAGGGGGGAGCAGCCCCCACAAATATATTATTGTGGGTGCTGAAGCAGTTGGCTCCAGTGTATAGAAACATAAGAAAACATGAAACATTAAAAACATTCTGATACAGGGCTGCCTTCAGTTGTCTTCTAAAAGTTGTGTAGTTCTTTATCTCCTTGATATCTGGTGGGAGGGTGTTCCACAGGGAGGGCGCCAGTACTGAGAAGGCCTTCTGCCTAGTTCCCTGTAACTTCACTTCTCGCAATGATGAAACTGCCAGAAGGCCTCCGAAGAGCTGAACCTTGGAGCTAAGTGATGGGGGTGGAGATGTTCCTCCAGGTATACAGGGCCGAGGCTGTTTTTAGGGCAATAAAAGCCAAGACCAACACTTTGAATTGTGCTTGGAAATATGCTGGGAGCCAGTGAAGATCCTTTAGGACTGGTGTTATACATATGGTCCTGGCAGCCACTCCCAGTCACCAGTTTGGCAGCCACATTCTGGTATAGTTGTAGTTTCTGAGTCAACTTCAAAGGTAGCCCCACGTAAAGCACATTGTGGTAGTCCAAGAGGGAGATAACCACTCTGGCAAGACAGTCTGGGGGCAGGTAGGGTCTCAGCTGGCAGACCAGATGAAGTTGGTAGACAGCCGTCCTGGACCTGTGCCTCCATGGAGAACTGTGAGTCCAAAATGACTCCCAGGCTGCACATCTGGTCCTTCAGGGGCCCAGTTACCCCATTCAGGACCAGGGAGTCCCCCACATCCGCCTACCCCTTGTCTACTAAAAACATTACTTCTATCTTGTCAGGATTCAACCTCATCCATCCATTATGCAGAATAGGGAAACTTGTGGTGTAGATTAGAACCACTCTTTTCCCCCCTGATCCCTGAGGTGTGACCCTTTGGTATTTTCTTACGACAAATATAATTGTTTCTTGCTCTCTTTTCAAATGGTGGTGGAGATGCTGAATCTTTGGAACCGGCATGGCAACCAACTTCTTGTTTCTAGCTTATTTGACCTAATTAGAAAGTGTCGATGTTTTCCATGCAAACCCAGCTGCTATTAAACCATCACAGTATTATGACAAGAAGTTCTAACACATGCTTTCCTTTTTTAAACCAAACTTAACATATTTAAATTTAAAAATAGAATGTGGGTTTCTGTGCTCTTTATAAACCTTTAAAATTAAAAATAGACAGCAAACACCCATGTTTCTTTATAACGCTTATAAACAATGAGATACACTTTTTGTTTCCTTTTCTTAAACTTTTCAGATACCGTATTTTTTTGGGGGGGAATAAAGAAAAAAAATTATTTTCCCCCCCAGGCACGGGGCTGGTGCGGGGGAAGACGGAGCTTCCCCCGACCCCAGCCCCCAGAACAGGCTTGCAAGCCCGGCGAGACCTCCTGCCGGGCGCGGGAGGCTTGCGGACACTTTCCCGAAGCACGGGGCGTCCTCCGGAGGGCACCCCGTGCTTCGGGATGCAGGCTGCCACCCCAAGCCTCGCGCACCCGGCGGGACCTCCAGAACTCCCCCAGGCTCGCAAGGCTTGCCAATAGCTTCCTGAAGCCTGGAGAGCGAGAGGGGTCGGTGCGCACCGATGCCTCTCACTCTCCAGGCTTCAGCGAAAGCCTGCATTCGCCCCATAGGACGCACACACATTTCCCCTTCATTTTTGGAGGGGAAAAAGTGCGTCCTATAGGGCGAAAAATACGGTAGTTGCTTTGCCTCCTGTGTTCTACGGAATGTGCATAAAATATCAGAAAACACTGTTCTCTATTGGCCTGGGTTTGTTGTATCTCTTTCTTTCATAGGAGTCATGAGATGTATCAAAAGTAGTGCTAAGAGCCAGTGTGGTGTAGTGGTTAGGAGCAATGGACTCGTAATCTGGTGAACTGGGTTCGTGTCTCCGCTCCTCCACATGTAGTTGCTGGGTGACCTTGGCCTAGTCCCACTTCTTTGAAGTCTCTCAGCCTCACTCACCTCACAGAGTGTTTGTTGTGGGGGAGGAAGAGAAAGGAGATTGTTAGCCGCTTTGAAACGCCTTAGGGTAGTGATAAAGTGAAATATCAAATCCAAACTCTTCTTCTTATTATTATTATTGTTCCATCAGTGTAACAGAAAACATTTCCCCCTTGTACCCCTCAATCTGTTCTAGGTGTTCTTCCCAACCCTCTGGAGCAGATTTGGGAAAGGGGTGGGTGAGGAGAAACCGTGGTGGATCTAGGAGTCTCAAATTTCAGCAGCACCCTGTGCATTGCCAAAATTTGGTGCCTCTCGCTTTCCATTCTACATCATTGTTACATCCAGGGCCTTTTTTCAGCCAGAGCTCACAGCTCTGGCACCTCTCAGGTGGGTGCCATTGCCATTCTAAGAGAACAAAGGAGAAGTTCGTGGTGAGCCCCGGCACCTTTTTTTCTAGGAAAATAGCACTGGTTACAATGCCCCCGAGGCTCTGCACACAGTGTGACCAAACTATTGAACTTGGAGAAGTCTTTGCACCGAATTTCTGTGATGGAACCACCCATTATTTTCAGGTTTGAAAGTGAAGCTGTATGAAAGTCTAATTGCAGGCTGTTTTCGCTGGCCTTAGAATCAACTTGCATCCCTTCCCTCTATCCTTTCTCCTTTTCCTTCTGGGATGGAACTCCTATTTGAGGACTTCCTTGGCTTTTTCCAGGGCCCACGTAGACCAGTCTGGATAGTTGGCCTTGGTAAGATATGACGTTTTCATCCCCAAAAAGTTTTGATTTGAGTTTCTACTGAAATGAGGCTGCATTTTAATCTTGGTTTTTTTAATCTTGTTTTAATCTTGTTTTTAAGTTGTATTTTAATCAATTGTTTTATACCTGGTGTTAGCTGCCCTGAGCCCGGTCGTGGCTGCGGAGGGTGGGTATAAATAAAATTTATACTATTCTAATGATTGTCGAATGTTACTTTTTTGATGTAGGATTGCCTATTTTAAAGTTATGTTTTATTATCACATTTTTGTATTGCATTAGATTGTTGTAAGATGCACATTTTTGGTTTCTTCAGCTTGTAAACCGCCTTGAGTATTGTAAGATAGAAAGGCGGTATACAAATTAAAAATGATGATGATGATGATGATTTATTATTTATTTATTACTACTACTACTACTACTACTACTATGTGTTGGTGAGGTTTTGAAGTAGAAGTTTCATCTTTAACCCAAAAATAAATATCCCCTCCCCCACAATCAGAATAAGATTTGCTTCACAGCTTTGAACTTGTTCTTCCTCCTCAGAGTGGAAGAGGATTTTGAGAAGATGTGGAAACTAAGCTCCAAGCCCAAGCTACCACCTAAGCCAGCGTTACCAAAGAAGCCAGCAGTAACTGATGCAAAACCCCCATTCTCCTCAGCCCCCAAAACAAAGCCAACTGAAGTAAAGGCTCAGACCATGGGCGAAGTTGATATCCTCCAGTACATTCAAGAAAACGAATCTACCAGCAGTGAAGAACCAAGCCTGTTCTGAAACACAGACTATGCCAGACTTTTCTTCAGGAAGAACTTCCACCAGCCTTCTGCATCTGGTTGGACAGAGCAGGCTTTGGCCCAGCACCCTCGGTTGACAGCTTGCCTGCTGGTTCATTATGGCAAAGAGAGCAGATTTGTAAGCAGCAAATCAATGAACGGCTTGTGTGTGTTCTGACCGCAGAGCAGCTGGGATCTGATCAAAGATGCCTTATGTTTGTTTTTTTCAGGGAGTTTCAAGAGCAAGGCTAGAATTTTGTTGAAAGTGAAAGTGCTATCTCGTTTTTTTGTTTTCGTTTTTTTTTTTTGTACTACAGTTGTAGTTCAAACTGTTGAAATATGTTCATGCAACATAATTGGGGTAGAGAGGTAGAGGGGATAAAGGGAGCGGACCTAGTAAGGTGAGTGAGTAAAGTAAAATACCTTTTTTTTCTTAATTGAAAATAGTTTTAACTGCTTCTCCTTGTCCCTAGAATCAGAGAATTGTAGAGCTGGAAGGTATTGCAAGGGTCATCTAATCCAACCCCTTTGCAATCCAGGAATCTCAGCTAAAGCATCCATGACAGATGGCCATCCAAATTCTGCTAAAAAATCTCCAAGGAAGGAGAGTCCACAACCTCCTGAGGGAGACCGTTTCACTGTCAAACAGTTCTTAGTGTCAGAAGGTTTTTCCTGATGTTTAGTTGGAATCTCAACTTTTTGTATCTTAAAGCCATTGGTTCGAGTCCTGGAGCAGAAGAAAACAAGTTTGCTCCATCCTCTATTTGACAGCCCTTTAGATATTTGAAGATGGCTCTCGTATCTCCTCCTAGCCTCTTCTTTCCCAGGCTATAAACATACACAGCTCCTTCAACCATTCTTCATATGGCTTGGTTTCCAGACCCTTGATCATCTTGGTTGAAATATCTCCTTGAAACAACTTTCTAGAAAATATGCCAAAAAACCCCTTCGCCCCCTGGATTGATTGGCTACAGGGCCAATATTGCCCCATATTTATGGTGTTTATATGTGTATGGGGTGTCCAATTGCTTCTTCACGAGAAGCACTAGATTTTCTCTCCTGACCATAGTTTGTAGTGGTGTATTGGAGACTATGCTCAATAGCCCCCAGAGTTTCAGGAGCAGCTTGTTACGTAGCAGGAAAAGGGGGGGGGGAATGTGGGAGTTTCGATCATGGCATCTGGTTTTCGTCTCTTCAGCTCCATTCCTAGGGCTAAGGTAGGTGCAGACTTCTTTTTACAAGCTGAAATTTTTGCATTTCTTGCTATCACTTTGGGTGAGGAGAGATTAAGTTGTATATGGAACAGTGTAAGCTAAAAGCCCCGTAAATCCATCTCTGCCAACGTTCACGAGCATTTTGTGAGTTTATTTAAAAGCTGCAGCTTTATAGATGTCAAGGCCTTGATATAGATGCCTATGCTATTTGTAAGAGGGTTAGGAAAAGGAACAGAAATATGACCTGTACCAATGGGTTCAAATTGCAAAAGAAGGGTTATTTTTGGACTAAACATTAAGATGAACATAATTTTAGGATTTTAAGCTATTGCCACAACTTAGTGGTGGATTTCTTGAAAGACATTCAACTAGATCAGGCATGGAGAATGCTTTGACCTTCCAGATGTTCCCATCAGTCCCAGCAAGCATGGTCAGTAGCCAGGAATGATGGGCGTTGCAACTGAACAAGGACTACCTCTCCCCATATGAACTGACCTGGCCCCTCAATCCTCATCTGAGGCCCTTCTTCATGTGCCTCCACTGTCAGAGGTCTGGAGGGCAGCAACACAAGAACAGGCCTTTTCTGTGGTGGCTCCCCTCTTGTCAAATGCTCTCCCCAGGGAGGCTCGCCTGAGGCCTTCACTACATATCTTCAGGTGCCAGAAAAAAACATTCCTTTTCTCCCATGACTTTGGCTAATTAAGCAGTCTATGTGGCCTTTTAAACTTTGTGTGGTGGGGGTTATTGTTTTTCTTTGTTATATGTTACATATTTTTGTGTTTTTATGTTGTACACCAGCCTGTGATCCTTGGATGAAGAGCGGTATTGAAATTTAATTGGCAACATCATCATCATCAACAACAACTGGAGAGCCAAAGGTTCTGCACACCCGAACGAGATGATTGCTTCCAACTTGATTCTGTATTTTGATAGTTCAATTAGACAGCTGACGAAAGTGCTTTAAAATTGTTTCTCTCTTTTTATATGAACCTATCCTATGTCTTTCTCATTCTCTCTTGGGTAACTGAGGCCCACAAAACAAATATCACTTGAGGAGAAGTTAAGCCATATCAAGAGACTTGCCAAGCCAGTAAGCTTATCTCTATTGCCTTTTGAATATACACCTGAATGAATGGAGGGGGAAATATCGAAGCACTTTAAATGAGTTGTGTTTATAATGTATAATGTTCATCATTCTGTTTTGAATAAAAGTATTAAGCACTATGAAAATTAAATATTCCCTCTTGAGATTTGAAAGACAAATAGCCCCGTAGATCAAATTATATGCTATTATATATTATAAGAGCAAATGAGCAGTGCAATTTAGATGGGGCCTGTTAGACTGTTTAGTAACATCTTTCCTCTTTATGCACAGCACAGTTTATTTGTTCATTCATTTTTAAAGCATTAAAGGTAGAAATAGTTTGTTTCATGCAGTACAGTACATAATGTTGACACTAAACCAATGTGCTGGAGCAAGTAGAAACACTCTTGTGAATACAGATGGGTAAAGTAACGCATAGGAAACATCTTGATTGCTGTGAACAGCTTCTGCTGCTTGTTCATACATACTCCTTAGGTGACCAGCCTGAAGCTTGGATCCTGTGGGCCAGCCTATGGCACAGAGTTTGGCCCACCCTCCTGCCTCCTACTCTTGCACTGCCCAGTATACACCCTAGCTTAGTCAGGCAGAGGCAAACTCGGACCAAGACACACATGGAACTATGGATTCAGCAAAGATTCCAAGGCAACCCTCAGTTGTAAAGTAGCTATTGTCACCTGGGAACTTAAGTTGTACAGCATCAGACCGTTGGTCCACCTAGTTTACTATTGTCTACACCAGCCCACCCAAAACTTGTTGTCTCCAGCTGCTTTTGGACTACAACTCCCATCATCCCTAGCTAGCAGGGCCAGCAGCCAGGGGTGATGGGAATTGGAGTTCAAAAGCAGTTTTTGAAACCCTTGTCTATAGTGACAGGCAGCTGTTCTAAAAGGTTACAGGCCATAGCTGTCAACTGTCCCTTATTTGGCGGGAAACTCCCTTATCCCAGCACTGTGTCCCACTGCTGTCCCGGATTGATGATGTCCCTTAAATTTCCTGGGTTTCATGCTCGCCCGGCTCAGGAGGGAAGCAGCGGCTTGGAGTCCTCCGCCTTGAGAGAGCAAGAGAGAACACGCGCATGAGCTGCCACGTCTCTGTCTCTCCCTTTTCCCCCTCAGGGGCGTGTCATGAGGAGACAAGTGGCGGCGGGCAGGCAGCCCATCTCTTGCAAGACTTCCGCTGCACTGCCAGGGGAAGCCAGAGGCGCCGCAACCGCCTCAAGCCAGGCTCGCGGGCGGTGTGGATGAGAGTCTCCCTCCCTCCCTCTCTCTTGGGCGGGGAAGGGCCGATGGAACTCCTTGTGCTGGGACGACGGCAGCCCTGACGTGCTGCTTAGCATACCCTCCAACCAGTGCACCATCTTAATGTAGTGATTTCCCCCTCTGCATCCCTTTCATAACTCTATTTTTATAAATCATTTGTCCATCCACAGTTCAAATTTTTACTACAAGTTTTCTGTCAATCCTACCAATGTATGTAACTCTTTACATACATAGCTTTTCAAATAAATTATAAACTTTCCCCATTCTTTATTAAAGAGGTCCTCTTCCTGGTTTCTAATTCTGCCTGTAAGCTTTGCCATCTCGACGTTGTTCATCAGTTTTGACTGCCACTCTTCTTTGGTCGGAGTTGTAAACCCTTAGGATCATCTAGTCCAACCCCCTGCAAAACACAGTCGCAGCCAAAGCACCATGGCTCCATTAGTGGCGGATTGATGTATAAGCTAAGCAAAATCCCTTATTTTGGCTGCTGATCCCTTATTTTCGAGGCTGCTGGTCCCTTATTTTCAAATCTGTAAGTTGACAGCTATGTTACAGGCTAGGGCCCTCCCAGCATACATGGAGATACGAGATGTTGAACCTGGCACCTTCTGCATGCTTGGTTTGCATCCAGCCCACTGAAATCAGTGGTTTAACCACTGGTTAGTTGGACAGTGTTAACTTTAAAAGGCACAGGAATCCTATCTTTGTCTGGCAAGCACATGTGCAAAGGAAAACACATGCAGAATGTTTTAGAATATGAAAAGAACAATACTTGTTATCTTTGAAGTGAATGGATCAGATGTATCCACCCAGAAATGCCAAGAGGTCATATCCTGCCCTCTTTATTAAGTGAAAAATGCAAAGAGAGAAAAAATTTGCTCCAGAAGCATCACGCAATTGATTCATTGACTTAGAGCTATCAACCCTGCTGGTGCTGGCCGGGTTTTTGAGAAATAATTAAATGAATCAAAGATGTTCCATTTGCTCTCTGACTCTCTTGTGCTATTCCTTCTGTTTTCCTGAAAGCTCCCCACTTTTTCTTTTTCAGAGACCTAGGATTCTCCTGTATAAGAAACCGCTGGGTTTGTTGACACAGTGTTTTTACCTGGCGTATCCGATTTCTAAATAATTAGCCGTGTTGCGAAACGTGTGTGCTCTGACACGCCGAGTTTGAGAAGAGATCATAATAAGAAAGTGGTGAATGATCCCATCCAATGTGGTCAGCGAGGCTTATATCCACAGTTACACATCAACTGAAAGCTGGCAATGGATTATTAGTATGTGCGTCAAAAACAGCATCCCTACAAAGCTGGCAAGAATGGAACTGGCTAACGTTTGTTTTTATTAGCTAGGACATCAAGCTAGATTAAGTTTGTTGTTGTCCTAGTTAACAAATGTTCAGGATATTCTTTGTGCGTGACTGTGTTTCCTGCTCCTTGGAAGTAGGGAATTGCAAGCCAGATTTGGAGAATATGTTTCCTTGGAAGAATAGAGGATTGAAGACGTGTGTGTGTGTGTGTGTGTGTGTGTGTGTGTATAATCTATCTGCAGGTAGGGTACATGGGAAGCTAGCAAAATACAGGCACCCTATACCAGGGGTCAGCAAACTTTTTCAGCAGGGGGCCGGTCCACTGTCCCTCAGACCTTGTGGGGGACCGGACTATTTTTTTTGGGGGGGGGGGTGAACGAATTCCTATGCCCCACAAATAACCCAGAGATGCATTTTAAATAAAAGCACATGTTCTACTCATGCCCAGGGGCCAGATCAGTCCCAATCGCCTTCTAAATCCTGCCCAAAATATGCCACAGATCAGCATATTTTTACATGCGTAGAATGTGTCCTTTTAATTAAAATGCACTTCTCGATTATTTGTGGAGCATAGGAATTCATTTCTTTTTCTTTTTCTTTCCAAAATATATTCTGAGGGACAGTGGACCAGCCCCCTGCTGAAAAAGTTTGCTGACCCCTGATCTAGAGAAATAAAGCCCCCAACCTATCTCTTTGTTTTGCACAACAGGCTAGCACCACACTGACACATCATTAAGGACTGCACACATTAGGCCATTAATTCATTCTCAAGTAGCAGGAGAAGCATCGCTAAAATAAGTGGCATGTGCAGTGTTAGAGTTCTCTGAAGAGTGGAGCAAATATGTATTATTCCCAGCCCTGGGTTAGGATTGGGAAGCAGAGTGGCAGGCTGGTATAGAACACGGATAGCCAACACAGTGCCCTCAAGTCATTGTGACATACAACTCCCACCAGTCCCAGGCAGCCTGCTCAATTTTCAGGAATTAGAGGAACTGTAATCCAAAAGATCTGCAGGTCACCATGCTCTCTACCCCTGCTATAGAAGAAACGGCTGTAGTATTTTAAACTAAATCCCCATTGCAGTTTTAGATTAAAGGTGAGTCTTTGATCTTGAAGGCCCTTGATCTACAGCAGGGTTTCCCAAACTTGGGTCTCCAGTTCTTTTTGGACTACAATTCCCATCATCCCTGACCACTGGTCTTGCTTGCTAGGGGTGATGGGAACTGTAGTCCAAAAACTGCTGGAAACCCTAATCTACATCAAAGTGCAAGTAGATAAATAGGTACTGCTCCGGTGGGAAGGTAAACGGAGTTTCCGTGTGCTGCTCTGCTTCGCCAGAAGCGGCTTAGTCATGCTGGCCAATAAAGTACTTATTTCCCATCCTTAGAGCACCCAAGGACACCAGAGAGGGTGGAGCAGGACAACTGCTCCCATGTTTTCTCATGACACTTTCCCCCCTGAAGCTTCTGCTATTGGCCATTTTCGGAAATCAGGTTGAGAACTGGAAGGATCCTAGCTCACGCCATGAGTCATACTACTCATCCTTGTGTTGAAGTGTCAAGCATACCATGAGATGGCCCTGGGCCCACAAAAGATTTCACCCAGGAGGTGATAGTATGCTCCTTTGATACCAGACACCAAAGGCTGACGTCATGCCATTCCGCTGTCCGCCTGAAACTACATTTCTTCACCTGCCCCCAGATTCCTGCTGCCAACTCTAGTTTATTTGGGAGGCCAGGCAGCAAAGATATCAAAAGCTATCCAAACATTCTCTCAGAATGCCAGTCCGGTGTTACTGGCACCAGTCCTCCGAGATCTTCTTCCACAACAACTTGCTTGTAATTCAAAGTGTTCCTGCTAATACTTCGGCAATGTCTGCATTGCTGGAGTCCTGCTGGCCTGATATGGGAGGAAGGTAGAGTGCACTCTTTAAATCAGGAATGGATTGAAATGTTGATCTAAGAAAAACACGTAGACCTATACAGTTGGTACCTCAGGTTAAGTACTTAATTCGTTCCAGAGGTCCGTTCTTAACCTGAAACTGTTCTTAACCTGAAGCACCACTTTAGCTTTAGAATTGTGCCACAGGAGCATGATTTCTGTTCTCATCCTAAAGCAAAGTTCTTAACCCGAGGTAATATTTCTGGGTTAGCGGAGTCTGTAACCTGAAGCATATGTAACCCGAGGTACCACTGTATCAGATTAAGGTCTGGTTAAGTACAACAACAAGTTCCCCCTCCCCCTTTTTGTAACGTACAGTGTACCTTGGGTTACAGATGCTTCAGGTTACAGACACTTCAGGTTACAGACTCCGCTAACCCAGAAATAGTACCTCGGGTTAAGAACTTGCTTCAGGATGAGAACAGAAATCATGTGGCAGCGGGAGGCCCCATTAGCTAAAGTACCTCAGGTTACCTCAGGTACCTCAGGTTAAGAACAGTTTCAGGTTAAGAACGGACCTCCAGAATGAATTAAGTTCTTAACCCGAGGTACCACTGTATCTTTGTTGTTGTTCTGTTTTCTACATGAGTACTATTTCTTGTTTCTTCTTATTATTTGTGT